TTTCGGAGTTGGAAACGGTGGCGTGTACGGTGTTGCTTTGGGGGGTGGGGATTGCGGAGAGCTTAGGGTCTAATGCTTAGGGCTTTCATGGTTTCGTCTCTCACTCTCGCACAGGCAGGCAGGGCTGCTTTTAGGGTTTAGGGTTTTAGGGACTTGTTAAGTAGGTTATAAGTAGAGTTATTAGTACCCTAATTGGAGTTACACCAATTATAACTCTACTGAAGGCTGCTTTTAGGGTTTAGGGTTTCAGGGGTGTGTGGCATCTCCAGCTTCTCCACAGCACAAAGCTTCAAACGAGGGATGTCGTTTAGTTCTTATCGGCTCATGCTGCATATCACAGTACAGTATAGTACATTTTTTCTGGCACTATGTCACGTAATGTGTTATGCAGGTCCTACTGATGGGCTGTGAGGTTCGCGTTTCGATCTGCATTTACGTTGATGGGCTTAGGCCTACACTTTGGAACTTGACTTCTGACTATCAGCCCCAAGACTTGAAGAAATGGGATCTAGGCGCCGTGCAACGTGCGGGGGGGCATACATGAGCAGTAGTTCATCAAGGCAAAAATCCTGCTGCTTTGTACAAGTGACACGTGCCGTGAAGGAGCCATTTGGGATCTGACAGCACAAGTTCCGAATTTGCCATGTCCCACACGCGACCACGCCTTTCTATTGCCATACAGAAAAGCAAATGCTTTAAAACACTGGAGATCCTGAATCCGGAATCCGAGTCTTCGCAAGTGAAGCTGCCTCCGCCATCGTCAGCTGCCCGCCTCTTTCCCATGGCGTCCGAAGGCCACGGCCCAGTTGCTGAACCACGAACTTTAGGCTCAATTCAAACATTCAACCCAGCCTCCCTCCATTCTTTATAGCTAAGTCAAGCAAAGAAGAGTTGGCGAGTTGGTGTCACTTGTAATCCTGTGGATTTGCTCAGACAGGCATAACTATATGTGCGGATATGATGCTCTGTACCAATCTCAACCATCTTCAATTCAATCCCATGGCTCGCACCCTGCATGCTGTCACTGTGCTCTCCGAAAGCAGCCGACCGGCGATGCGGGCTTTGTTGAGATTTACAGTAATTCCTTGCAGGTGCTGTCCTGACAGGATGTGGGGTTTTGGAAGTTGGACATCTATCTATGTATCTCTCTCTCTCTCTCCCTCTCTGTCCGTCTGTCTATCGATCTACGGCACACCTGTCTGTTGACTGCATGCACAGAATTGGCGGCATCATCATTTTCGACACTCAGCGGGCCATTCAGCAACAAGTATCCCAACACGCCCTCTCCTGCTTTCTCTGTCTCTGTATGTAAGTGTGTGCATATGTGTACCGTATGTAGGTACCTAATAATGTCGGTGTAGCTATGTATCTCTGCATACATGCATGTATGTGTGTTCGTCTGTGTGTGTGTGTGCGCATGCATGTACAGGTAGGCTAGGTGAGGTGAGGTGAAGGTAAAAGGTCCAGGCAAAGGTAAAAGGCAAAGGTAAAGGTAAGGTTTAGGCTAGGTGAGGTCAGGTGAGGTCGGGTGAGGTCACGTCGGTCGGTCGTTCGGTAGGTCTGTCTGTCTGTCTATCTGTCTGTCTGCGTGTAGGTGTCTGTGTGTGTGTGTGTGTATGTATGTATGTATGTGTGTCGGTATGTGTAGGGTTTGGTACAAATGTAATTGCATGCATGTACGCATGTATGCCTCCGCGTGTATTCGTGAGCACGTACGCGCGTTTAAACATATATAGCGATAGCTATATACACCTACGGCAATGAGAAATGAAGTTAGTAAACTATGAAACAAATCAACAGAAGGCAGCATCCTGCAGCTCCACCATGCGTGCCGCGGGCTGGAGGGGTGCCGACGCCTCGCTCAAGAAGCATAAGGGCTGGTGTTCTTGGAGACCAGGCTTTTCAAATTCCGACCGGGGGACCTTTCGCGTGGCACTTCAGCTACAAGTAGCCACAGACAAGCGGGCTAGGGCCTCTTTACACTCCTACTACGACTAAATGTTGATGTTGGAATCCTCAGCCCGATTCGTCCCTAGAATGAGGGTTCCCAGCTCTCGGGTGACTTGCAGTCAGGACCCGTGCTGAAATACCTATCACGCAATGCTTGGTCCCATCCCCAAACTCGTTCAAACCCGACTCTGCTGCAGAAGACTCATGCAACCAGGAATCTTAAACACGAGTTACGAAGTGCTCAACACTCACGCACACAGTGACCTCATAAACGGGTCGCGAAGTACAGACCCCGAGCCTCCCATCCTAGTCAGGTTTGCTTGTCATGGCCTTGGCGCGGACGCGAACGAAGCGGCCGGTCCTGTTTGGGTGTTAGGATGCAAGCTTGCCCGTTCATGTCAAGGTGGGGCATGTCAGCCACCCAGGGTCGCCTCTCGAGCGTCTAAACCCTCAACAACCCTTATGGGAAATTTAATAATACATAATATATAATATATAATATATAATATATAATATATAATATATAATATATAATATATAATATATAATATGTAATATGTAATATATAATACATAATATAGAATACATAATATGTCATATTATATTATATTATATTTAGAGCCTTTAAAGGGACCCCATAACCCGGTTGATCAAGGCAACTCCTTTTGACAAATGCAACCGGGCCCTCCTTTTAAATCTATGTTGGACTCTGTGCCGCCTGCTGCGGTCCGGTAGGGGCATGTGCTGTTAAGGTAGTGTTGGGCCTGTATGGAGTTTGTATATCTGTGGTCTTACCGACCTTTTTTGAGTCTTACCGACCTGAATCCTAAACTCTGAGCTATGCAAACCCGTCGCCTGAGGTGCTGAAGCTGCAGCGGCTCGCCGTAGTAGATCGGCCTCTGCAGGAGGCCGTCTCTTTGGGAGCTTCGGATCTTGCTCGAGGGTCCCGGTGCTTGAGATTGAACCTACGGAGAAGGCCTCTCTACGCAGGCGGGTCAGACCAGCGCAAACATGAAAACACAAACACGAGAGACACAAGACCCAGGTCCACACCAACACCCACATGCTCTCAGACACACAAAGACACAAACGCGCGAGGCGTTAGGCAACCCCTCCGACAAAGAGCTGCTGAGGCACAACGCACAGCAAGTACGATACGGTATCCAGCAGTGGTCAAGTCCGAGACTGGGATTTCCGCTGTATCTAGCACCAACTCGCTTCAGCATTTCCCGTTTTCCACGGTCAAGAGGCTGCGATTCGCTGTTGCGTATCTTTTGCTACTTATGCTGCCCATGTTGCCTTTTCGCCATGCTGTTGTCAATCTCAATGTTTGTGGCATTGCAAAGGCCACCTATTTACGCTCCTGCTTCAGGACTGACTTACCTATAATTACTAACCGACTGACTGGCATACTAGCTTGCATGCTTTTTTGCTTACTTAGTTGCTTGCTTACCTACTGGGTCTTAACGCTTACTTGGTTGCTTCCTCCTTTGTTTCCTTCGCTGCCTACCTACTTATTTACATACACATTTGCTTGCTTACCAACGTGTTCACTTCCTTGCATACACATTTCACTTGATTGCTTACTTCGCGTACTTTACCTACTATACTTACGTTACTTACTTTACTTTACGTACTTTACTTGCTTAGTTGCAGCCGCTGCTGCTACTCTATATACCTACTGCTACGCCGACTCCCTATCCTTACTACTCCTGTCACTACTCCTCCTCCTCTTGCCGCTGCTCGCAGGACGACGACGACTCATTACTTCCTCGTACTTACTACTTTTGAACCCAAGCTCTGACCCTGTTCACCTGGAGAGGGGCCACTGCTGCTACAACTGCTAGTGCTAGGACGACGGAGGCGATGACAACGACGGCTACCACTACGAGAACCATTACGGCTTCGACGACCACCACTATTACGACTACGACGACGGCAACGACGAGCGATGTACAACCTACGATATGAGAGGTACAATTTGCGACTACTCCGGCTGCAGCTACGACTAGAACTGCGACAACGACTATGATTATAACTATGACGATGACGACAACGACTGCCACTGCAGCAATTGCCACTGCGACTACGACTAGCACTAGGCCACTCCCACTATTTCTGCTCCTCCTCCTCCTGCTCCTCAGCCCTGGTAATTTCCCTAGCTTCTCCGGGTTTCCCTCACCACGGCCTGGGCTTGGAATGCTGCTTGTTGAGGTTCTGCTCCGCCTGGCTCAGGGCCCGGGTTGCTGAAGGCTGAAGGGCTCAGAGGCCCGAAACCCACCTTCCAAAAAAAGGAAGCGCAAGCGCTTCTGGGTTTGAAAGCATCGCCGGCTCCTGGTTTTAAGGCTTCGAGGCCTTGCAAACATCGGGCGGAGGAGGGGTTTGTCTGTAGTATCTACGGCCCATTGAGGTAGTTTACGCGCTGCTCCGCCGGATGAGTATGGGATTGGCAAGTTTGGACAGCTCGGGGCCCACAGATTGCAATCGCAGAAGCAAGCCTCCACGCAAGACTCAATGGTATTGGTGATTCAGGGCCGTGCCAACAAAGAGTCCCGTGCCAAGGCGAGACATGCCACGCCGCTTTTTGGAACGGGGGCTCTGCTGCTGGGGTTTAGGGGCGCGGAAACTCTTGGAGGCTGCATCTCTGCCGGTGGCCTCCATCTTCGCACGCTCTTCGAGGCTGCGCAGCTGCAGTGCGTAGACTGCAGGGGGCAATCGGAATCTGTTCGGAGGTCTGGAACTACCCTGGGGTTGGCCTAGGATGGCCTGAATGATCACAGGCTACGGTCAAGGGTTTCGGGCTGGGGCCTGGTTTCGATCTTGAAGCATGGAGAATCACATCTTGGCTGAGTCACACTGCGCAAGGGACTGGCAAACCGTCTGCAAGCATCCGAGGCTCACAAATTGAGAACAGGCCCTACAATCTTTTCCGCCTCCCAAACCCAAGACAGTCTTTCCAAAACCGGCTGTAAGTCGAATATTCTCATATAACCCGACAGTATGAAAGTTCAAGACCACCCTCGCGAAGATTATGCACAATCGGCGGAGTCCTACGAATTTCGTTTGTTTCCTCCTTGGCTTCTACGAACTCCAAACTGCCTTTTCTGTTGAAGACGGTTTGCACCGATGAAAGACAGTGGTCCCTCAGGCTCCGGCACGCACTGGAGGGGTCCAGGCCCTCCTGATACAGCCTGACTGCATTATCCACACAGAAATGTGCCTGAATAGGTGGGTATACATATTCTTACAAGTAACGATGAATCATTGTAAGTACAGAGAGAGGAGGGGGAGAGAAGAGAGAGAGAGAGAGAGACAGAATATGTCCTGGTCCTATGTGATGTGTTGTACCGTAGCCGATTCTCAAACAAGTTACAGCATCCTGATTACCATCGCGCTGCTGGAGAGCGTATGACTGTATATATGTGTGTACAACTGCACATGTATACAAACAAGAAGGCAGGCAGGCAGACAGATAGGGGGATAGACAGACAGGGGCGGAGATCAGAGACTGTGGACTTCCGGGAGCACATGTATTGGAAACCTGCATCTGCGATGAGGGCCGCAGGCCCACCAGCTCCATGTCCCATGCAGCCAAGGTGCTGTTTCTTCTTTTTTAGCAGGTCCTTTTGAGCGTTGTAGCCTGCGATGCGCCACCGTGGTATGGAAGGAAGCCAAAACCCTGAAAAACTTAAGGGGGCAGCTATCCCTACATCCTATAATCCTGAACCCTAAGCCCTCCAAGTGCCAAGCTGCTCAGCTGCTCCACGACCACGAAAATAAAGTCGCGCACGTCTACAGTTCCGGTGTGGAAGTCGTCCACGCCCTCGACCTGCGGGGAGTTTTGGTGAAACCGAGGGATCCAAAGGATCTAACTATCCAAAATTTAGGGACCCTAGATAGGCACATGCCGAAGATTGTGTTTTGGGAAGTCTATACGAACCCTGTAGCCCATGCCTGAACAAGTGGTCTCTCAAGCGAGATTCTGAGCCCTCACCTCAAATCAAGCATCCACCGTGAGCCAACAGGTCGGACTGAAAGGCTGAAGCTCAGCGAAGTTACGTTTTAAGCCTAAGTCTGGATCACGGTTTAGGGTTTAGGCTTTAGGGGGCGCATGCTACCCAAACCTCTTAAGCCTGGCAATCTCGTCCTGCCTCTAGCGTCGCGTGCATGCCCGAGCCGCGGATGTAGCCTCATTGAGGGCCCGACTCAGAGCCCAGTGCTCACTGCGTGTAGGACGATAGTGCCCCTAAGTAGCTATAATGTTCCTAGCATCTTGTAGTCTTTCACAAGCCGGTATGCAGCAGATGGAACCCAACGTAACATTCTAGAAACTCGAACCAAGAGACACATCAAGCACCAGCAACATAGCCACCTTTCCTCCCCCAAGCTCGGGGAGCATTTGGCGCAGGGGGAGAGCCGTGCTTCTTCGATAGGATAGGTGATGTTCCCGATGTACTACGTGCACAGTACTGTAACATGAGCAAAGCTGGAGTGACAGAACGCCCTAGTAGTAGGATCCTGTAACCCTAAACCGATACATCATGGCCAGGAGAATTACCGCCCACTGCAGCTCAGCGACCCGTGTCCTGAAGCGATGCGGGACTCTAACCAAGTACTCGTGACCAGAGGAGGGTTGCAGGTTACGGCTTTTATGGGGCCCGAATGATTAGATTGCGGTTTTGGGGATACAGTATGGGGAATACTACTAATCACTCCGACCCAAACCAGTGACGAGTTTGAGTGACATGAGGCTTTATGGCGATGGGGGCCTGGACAGGTAGGGTGGGAGTTTGGGTCTTAGGGTTTCGGCACTCACCACTGGATCACCACTGGAACAAGTCTGGCGGTTCCGAGGCAGGGGAGCTCATGGTGTTTGCGGTTTACTCGCGCAGCATTCCGGATTTGCTACGTGGGTTTCATGGGCGATGGATCGCAGGCTTCATTAATTTCCATGTATTGTCTGCATCCGGACGGACCTCGACAGCACTGCAGGTCTTCCCTGAAACTACTGAAAGCTGGCTGACAAGACATGATGCCGGAGACTCGACAAGCGCGGCTCGGCTGCAAGTCGGGAACGCAGGCATGACAAAACTTCGTGAACAGACGTGGGTCTTCATGACAATACAAACGACGACAGTGACAAGAACGAAAATTATTAATATGTCTTTCCATTTCTTCCGGAGGCGAAACTGGGCCTCTGCCCAGAATAACGACGGAACATTGCTCTCGAAGAGGCTTCCCATCTTCTCGGGGTTTAGGGTGGGCTTTTGTCGAGGTTCAAGACGGAGGTCAGACAAATGCCAACGAGTTCGGTCTGTCATCGGTTTAGGGTCTCGGTTCTGGTTACGGGCAATCTTCCTCACAAAGCTGCAAGTACCCTTGTGTTGAGACTGTTAAGAATTCTGGGCTCAAGTCGTGCCCCGAAGAAGGCTTCGGCGCCTGTATTGAACCTTTAACTTTAAACCCATACAAACCCTAAACCCGCAACTCCATAGGGTAAGTTTCTCACCCAGCCCGACATCGCGCCTGCGTGTTCGTGGCCGCCTCGACGTATCCCTCGCTGTCTCGCAGGTAGACTTTGAGAAGCACCAAGTCTCCTCGCAAGTTGGTTTGAAGTTTCTGTACCAAGGGTTTATGGTTCAGTTGCGGGCTTCGACTCGGGTTGAGGGTTCAGGGCTCCGGGGCCCAGACCACAAACTTCGACAGTACCGTTGTCAAAGCAGGTGGCCGACATAAGAGGACGAGGGCTCCGGGATCGAGGTGGCGAATCATGATCACCCTCCAATTCTGAGCCCGGCGACTGCTCCTGCAATCTCTGGGCATGGCTGTGAACCCTGGCCTGACTCGGTCAAGATGTAATGTACACTGCATTCCATGACTTGAAATTGAAATCCTCACCTGAGTTTGAAACCCTGTACCGTGCGGTGCCCCGATTAACCTCTTCTGTTCAGGGACCAAGCCACACCATGCATGAAAGTCCGAACACTGGAACCCTGACCGAAACCCGACCTATCCCCAAATATAACAACCGCCTTGAACTGAATTCCAGTCTATCCCACCGCGCACCTGTGTGGAGCCATTCCTCGGAGACTCTGAACTGACAAGCACAGGCATCGAACAGGGTCTTCGTCTCAGAGACGTCGGACAGGGATATGTGGCTCCCAATTCGTTGCGAGTGAATCGCAAGACTGCTGCGCCTCTGAAGCTCTTGTCTAATGACTACACGACTGCCAGAACTGGGTTTGGGGGCAGATTGTCGTATGTGCATGTAGGGACCAGAATGTAAAGGGTGATGCTGCTACGAAGTCTCAACCCCTTGTGGTAGTTACTGGTGGTTTACAGAGTCAGACATCCAAGACCTCAAGCTCCACACCTCTCCACTAAAACCCAACAATGGACGTCTCAAACCCTTTAGCCAGGAAGCCTTTCACTCCCTAAATCCCCGGGCCCCCCCAACTCCCTGAAATCTTTCAGCCTCCAGCATCCGAAGCCCTCAACCATTGTCTGGAAATTTGAAAGCCGCCCACGACCTTCGAAACCATGGTCCTACAGTTCCTACAGGCTCCCAAGCCTCCATGCCCACGATACTCCGCCTCACTGCATACACGCCCAACCTTCACAGAAACATGCACCAACCTGAACAATCCGTACACCCAGTCTGCTACGTGCACCAAATTCCAAACTAACTAGGACCTGCACAGCAGAACACGTCTCAACAGCAAGCATACAGCCACGAACCGACTGTCTTGCTGCATGGACTCCGTGGAATGCCGGCCGCGCACAGCGCCTGCAGAAAGCTGGTGAACATTTGTCGGCATTCGGGTGTGTGGGACTGTTTATTATTTTGAGGCTCTGAGCGGTCTCAACTATTGTAAAGATTGGTCGAGATGTGTGATGTGGCGTCTGGAGCAATTGTGCAGCATGAGACCTACTACCTGGAGCCCAGCCGCCTCTAGCACGCACTATGGAACTTGTTATGAGCTTCACGGCCTCGGAACGGCATCGGCTACTGTGACGCACAAACGACGGATGAGCATCGGTTTGTCGCTGCCTTTTTGCCTCGTATCCTGAGCCTGTTGACGCACGAGTTTCCCATGAAATGCCTTGCGTCTGGCCACGACTATCTTGGAATGCTTCCTATCAGACTACAGACCCATCAATTTTCAACATCAAACCTCATGTCGCAGGAACCCCACCATTCACCGAAGCCCTATTCAAGCCCGGCTCCGAGTCTGATAGAAGCAGCCTCGTTCGGCAGCTTTCTCCTTTTCCTCGTCACCTGCATTTAGCACTCAAGGTTCAGGGCCGTTTGGAAGCAAAGAACTTGATCAGCCCCCCAACACAACACAGATGGGCAGACCTTCGCAAGAGAAGGGAGTTTGCGGAGTTCAGTTGTGCGATACGCAGCGAACGCAGCATGAGCTGAAGCCCTGCAGGCCGAACACGCAGAACAAAAGTCGTGCCCGATTATCAGCCACCTGTCTTGTCACACACATGGCAGGTCTAAACACCTTGTTTCTCTGCGTGGGGTCCGAGTCCCACACTGAACCTTCAAACATTTTGACAAACAGTGAAGAGAAGCCTGCCCCACAGACGTGAGATTGAAGCCAGCTCCCCTCATGCGCTCGAGATGCTAGAAGACCGTTGGGATTTTGTGTGAGCGTCAGGATTTGTGGTTGCTGACAGAAAAGCAGGACAGTGCTATGTGTCCGGGCACACAGCAGCCCGAAATCACAAATCCCTCACCTGGAACCTGTAATGTGGGGGCCTTAAGAATTTCAATAGAGTTTGTGGGTATCTTCTACTGGAATTCTCAAAAGGAGAGCCCCCAAACCCTATTCTAACTATTGAGGCTCCTACATTCAGGCTTGATCCTTGAGGCCCTGCTTGCCTTCGGCCGCCGGCTCTGGCATGATGCCTCAAGCCTTGCGTCGACAGCCAAGGAAGCCTTCATAGCTCCCGTAGCTAGGGCTCAAGATGATGCCGACAAGGTGAAGAACAGACCACCGCCAGTCGTGTGAATCAGCATCATCAACAGCGTCATCAGCAGCGGCATCAGCATCATCATCTGCAGCGGCAGCAGCTGCTGCAGTTGTTGTGTCACCACAGGCACGATCACCATTCAGCAGCATTGCAATTGTGATCCGTAGATATCGCCGAGATTATCGCAACCAGGAGCGGCAGCAGCAGCTGCAGCCGCGGTGGCGGTGGCGGCAGCAGCTCTCATCAAATTTGACGAGAAGCGCTGCTTTGTTTGGACGGCCCATCCGACAACACCCTTCGTTCGAAAACTTGCCACCCCTTCCACGCAATCGCGACCACTGCTGACATTACTAAGTGAAGGCTGGGTGCTGTTGGTTGGCGGATGGCTTCAAAACCTGCATGTGCACCTCATGCCTCTGCTGAAAAGCCTTGCATAAAGAAACCCTTCGAAACCCCTAGAAACGTACCCTCCCTAAACCCTTTTTGCAACAGGCTTAACCCCCCAAACCCTAAAACCTCTCTCTCTCTCTCTCTCTCCAGGCCTTTTGCTGCAGGCTTGCTTGCAAGGACGCCTGGTAGTTTGCCGCTCTTCCCCTACACCCTAAAACCTAAACTCCCTCAACCCAAGAATTGGTAGGTATGGTAGAATAGCCAAGAAAGCCTTTGGTGCCTCGGTCTGTCACGCCATTCGGGGACATGGCATGCTTCCGCAGCGACGAGGAAGGGCCGTGGTTTGGCTCTAGACTTCCTGTTGTTAGCGCAGGCGGTTTATAGGTAAAAAAGAATCCAGGGAATCAGAGTCAGAGGGCTGGTTGGGTTACTACTTTCCAGGCATATTCTTTCAAATTCTGGATTGTCTTGGGCCTTCAGGACCTGTCCCTGCTCTCGGCTGTTTATGGTGGATGCTTCTGGGTAGCTGCTACCTTGGCTTTGCGGTTTGTTGCAGGGGATGGGTTTTTACTGCCGCAGTGCCACACCCGGAGCCGAAGCGGCAAGTGCGACATTCTCCAAACCCACATCCTGATGCATAGTAACCCTGAACCCTAAACCCTAAGATCCTGAACCCTAAACCCCCAAATCCTATAAACTATAAACCCCCTATAACCGTGACAAATCATGAGATCTGCTGGCATTTGGCAGACCTGGTAGGTGCTTGGGGGGCGGGGAGCTTCTTCAAAGGTGACTTCTGGCCTCTGGCACCCGAAAGCCTCATGCCTGGGGCACAGTTCATCAAGAAATACTATAGGGGCCTTAATAATTAGAATAGGGTTTTGGGGCCCGCTAGGCCCCTATATTTTGCCAGCGCGCACACCGTGTGAAGCTACGCTGGGACACAGCAGAGGCAACCAAGCCTAAAGGACATCGAGGTGTGTGCATGGCACTTATGGCAGAGATGTCCCCAGAATGAACCCAGACCCACAGCTCTCATATCCCACTATAGCACTATGTAGGGTACAAAACGCAGGGCTGGCACGCTACGCATCGAACAGGTCTGGAGCGCGGCAGTTTCCTGATAAGGGGGTTGCAGACCCCCCGTAGACTTTTGTAGATAAGTATCTACAAAACATCCACGTAGTTACGCGGCACTCATGCGAAGAGTAAAGCAGTGTCTTCAAGCTCTGCCGTTGTACTCTGCACCCTCATATATGTTTTGCGAAAAACAGCCGGGTTTAGGGTTTAGAAGCTTAGGGTTTAGGGGCTTCAACCCCCCCATCCCGCCCAGAAGCAGAGGGAGCCACGAGCCGTCTATACTGTGCCAGCGGACGCCTTCGAAGCACAAGGGTTTCGGGTTTACTTCTTGCCTCTAGCTTCAGAGATGCAAGCACACCAGGGGCTAGGCGAGAGCTTAGAACGGTGTCGTCGCACACTTAGTGTAGAAAGGGTTTATCCTATGTTTTCAGAAGTTGCCTAGTCTTCTGCCCTTGCAACTTTCAGCCGCACTGCATTCCAACGTTCGGACTTCGTCATTGAACCTCCAGAACAAACCGTTCTAGTACCCTCGTGACCTCGTGCTGAAACCTTTCGGAGCTTAAGGCCTGACTGCACTTGTAGCGTCACCTCCCTCCTCCCCAGTCCCGGTATCACCCCAAATCCTGAAAGCCTGAGCTTGGGTTCGGGGTTCTTGACTTCCCAAACTTCTCCAACAGGGCTCAGGGTCGAGAAGAGGGTCTTGAGCTAATTGAGAACATTCGCGGGTGCAGCCTCATGGCCCATGGCCGGAATCTTTGTCGGCCACAGTCCCGTCCCGAAAGCCCCGGAGTACGAAATGATCCAGCTGAAGCGGCTGCGAAGGTGGCACAGGCAGAAGCTGGGGCTCGAACTAGTAATGTCGGACTTAGAGCAGTGAGAGGACGGGATGGGCCTGCCTGTCCCTACATACTGTAAAGTACTGCAAAATTACTTGTCGATCGCATCTGATCTAATTGGCCCCTATCGCTTTGCAGGTTTCTTGTCCTTGTGGTAGCAAGGCACCCACGACTACGACACTGCAACTCTACAACACTGCAACTGCGAGCTCTCTGACATGCGCGGCTGTGGCGCAGCTCGGACCTGGCTTTACACACGTGCTGATGCCGGCCTGATGCATGGTCTGACCTTCTTCTGGCCGCTAGACCTGAAGCTTAGACCCTGGGTCGGGCCCTGGAGCGCTCGACGGACCGAGCGGCATCGGCAAGCAAAAATAGTAGGCAGCGAAAACACATCTTATCTTCATCTCTCAACATGAAGAAAACAGAGACGCAGGATGCCTTTCCTATTTTAACCAGCACTTCAGCTCCGCCCAATCCTGAGAGCATTTTGAATCTGTCTGCTTTTTCTGTTCCAGCAGTTGGAGGCATCCGTAGGCTGGAGGCAGTGATGGCATGCCCGCAAGATGCCAGGAGTCGCGGATGACCTGCAACCAGAGAAACTGAAAAGGCGTGAACCGATCTGAGTGCCGAAGGCATTGCTATGGCAACTAGTGGGCACCTTCTCTTGCATTGTTCGCATTTGTTCCATGCAAAGCCGCGTTTTCTCGTAGAGCTGCTGCTTCTACCTCTACTGTGGGAGCCTGCTGCTGGACTTGCCGAGGGTCTTGGACTTGCTTCGCTGTGGACTCAAACATCGACGGCCAGAGACAGGGGTCTGCTGCTCTATATAGGCCTGTTGGGCTCTTGCACTTGATGTTAATGGCAAGGCTTCAGGGAACACGTCTTTGCAAGAGCGGATCCAAGACATCTAGGGTCCCCGGTTCAACCAGGCGGGAGGTGGTCCTGCCCCTCGCCGTCTGGTCATTGAGCGGGCTTGCTGTCCGAAGCTTGAATCCGAAGGCTTTGCCAATGAGACCCGACTGATGCAACAGACATATGCAAAACAAAAAAGCCATGTTATATGTACATATATATATATATATATGTATGCATATATGTATAAACAAAGATATATGTATATATATATATATATATGCAAACATAATACATATGCAATAATGCCAACGGAACCGGGAATACAACCGTATATATGCAATTAGAAGAGCTTCGGCAACAGATAGTAGAATATAGAACAGTCTGTTCGTTTGTGCGAAATGGTGTCTGTATATGCTTATGTATATGTATATGTATATGTATATGTATACCTATAAGCCTATACATATATATATACTATGCCTACATATGTATGTATGCATGCATGGATGCATGTATATACGTGTGTATGCACGTACATACATACATACATACATACATACATATATATATATATACATACACATATACATATCCTGCGCGCGCAGGTTTGTTTATGCATTTGTTTACCTAGGCTCTATGCCATCATCAGCTGGGAATCGGCAGCTAACATGACTACTGCATGTCAGCAAACCGTCGCAACCACTCCACCTCTTTAGTTTCAATGACGGAGAAGCTGACAAGTACACTATGCGTCTTCCACAAGTCTCGCTTGACATCGGAATACATCTAAGCATTACCGGTAATAGTAGTTATATGAGAACAGTACGCACGACCCTTTGGAAAGACCCTGCCCCAGGCCACGGGCCGTAAGCTTCGTCGATGCATCACTGGGAGCACGTAGGCCGAGCGCCGGGAAACGATTCACCTCATTCTTGCTCTCCAGAAATCTCATCACTCATCTTGACTGATATGCTGGTCCGTACTGTCAGTGCTTTGGATGTTCCTACTAAGGTTGTCACTAGCAGTACTGCTACTGTCGGTACCAGTACCAGCACCTGCACGAATCATGGCTGCGACTGTTTTGTGACCACGTGGCTATGCGTTCATTACCTTCTCTATGTCTGTGACAATTGAAACCCGGCATTCTGTTGCCCTCTCGCCGCACGACCATGACGTACCATGATTATAGAACTGGTTGCTCTCTGCACAGAGGATGACACCGAGAGTCAACCCTATGACTGTGAATGACTTGTACTGCAGCCAACCTCCACACATCACAACGCACACTGACGTCCAATACAATGGTGCCGTGACATTGGAGTCCAACAGGTGCTTTTGCATCACACACTCCCGGCGCACATAAAATGCACACTGGTTCCCTGAACACTAAGCCACTCCCGGAGCCCTGCTAGGCCTCCAAAAGCCAAGGCCAAGGGCCGTTGCCTCCTTGCGTTCTCAAGAGATTCCCCCTGCTTCCAAATGGAAAAAAGCAGAGCTGGGGTACGGCAAGGGGTATAGTTTCGGCGCTCACACTGGGACAATCCAGGCGAGGCATCGTGATATGTTTCGGCGCTCACACTCGGACAACCCAGGCGAGGCATATGGCTCGAGGTCTGTTAACGATGAAGTGACACTTTCACTAACTAGAGGACCTGGTGACAGTAACACGGCATACCCTAAAGAGTACGCCTGCACTAACGGTGTCCCCCCTGTCTCTGAGATCTTCGCTTGCTGTAGGATATAATAGTTGAAGATCTCAGTCACTACCACAGAAAGCCGCTCACAGTGGGGCATAGCTACGCATGCGGGACTCAGGGATAGGTTATACAAACCCGTGACAGACGAAGTAGTATGAGCGATTTTGGTGAAGATGTGAATGTAGGGACCTGCATAGTTGGCAACTATAGAACCTCGTGAAAACCTCGATGGTCTGTTTATTTGTTCGGCTTCTGTATATTCAGGCCCCTACAGCCGGTACCTGGTGGTGCCACGCCAGCTTAAACTTGCGCAAACCCTGTACGCATCCGCACGGATCCGTCAGGCCATGCCAGGCCCCCTAGTGTCATAAAGGGATTCAGCCTAAGCTTCAGGGGCTTGAGAGGTTTGGTTTAGGGTTGGGGGTTTAGGGTCTAGTATCACCCAAGTTTTGCTGACAAAAATGACACTGGCAAATTTCATGATGCTGCAGTCCACTTGTGCCGTTCATGATGCGATTTACTATGAAATCCATGTCCACACCCAGTCCACACCATGAGTAACAGCAACAACCACACTGAAGCTGACATCAATGAGGCAGCGAACGGATTGACAGTGAAGTGGTAGAGGACGTAGAAGTCCATCATGAAGTATATGCCCCACATTGACATGCCCGTCGCTACAATGCCCCATAGACAAGCAGAAATCCATGTGTCTGCCCCAGCGAAATCGCAGCTTGTAGGTCACGAGAATGAAAGCCTTGAAGATGATGGGCAATGTTGACAGACACTCGATCGTCTCCTTGATCAGCATCGGTATTTGCAGCTCTGGTGGAACCCGTAGCATCAACTCCAGGCCAGACCAAATTCCAGGCGATCCCGCCATCACCATCTAGAAGTATACGAGAAGATGGCTCTGCAACTTATCCGCAAGAGCAATCCACTCTTCCGATCGAAACCAGCACGCGAAACTCGATACAGATCCAAACCAAGTCTCTATTCTATGCAGGTTCAGCCTTGCTGCACCCCTCCGTCGGCTCTGGAGAACAGCACGCACATTTGCTGTTGCCCAAGGCAAAATTCAACATCTGCTGCTCCATTGTGTCGATGTCTCGCCAGTATGCGCGGGCGACGCTTACCACGAAGCTGAAGGTAAGGATGCCCAGCAATGCTAAGCAAGCAATGACTGGCATGGTTTGGGACGGCTCACAGGAGGAATCTGCAGGCAAGAAGTACGGGAAAGTTATCATGCACAAGCTTGCATGTCCAGCAAAGCACGATGACTCCGGCTCGTGGTGAGTGCGCAGTCACACTTGCCGAACTGCTCGTTTGGCCGTGCAAGTAAGCTGCGGCTTCAAATGCACCGAAGCCTGGACGCGAACGTCTGACCCCAAAGCACCAATAGAGACATGGACTGCTTCAGTATGGCACCCAAGCTGGCAAGACCCTCTCTTCAGTTTTCGGTCTTGGTTTATGCGGGCACAGTCCCTGAAAAGCATGGTGCCGGGCCTCCACAGGAACAAGGTCAAGTAATACTATCAGGCATCCAGAGAGCCAGCACCAGCCTCCACTCAGAACTTCCAAAGGTGGCAAGATCGAATGCTGAGACAAAACATATACTTGCACCCAGCGTTCCCAAGACCATTGTCGGCAGCCCATTCTGCGAAATGAGTAAGTTGAGGTACTTCTTCCATGCAGGCGTTTGCCAGCTGCGTGACACAAACATATCAATGTCGCTCACCACTTCGCTGTGCCTGTACATGTCTTTCAGACGCCACCACGGCCAGGGCGCATGATGCAAGATCCTGCCCAGTCGCATTCCTGTGCCTGAACCCTCCCGGCTCACCTAAAGTCAAAACAGACGTTGTGAACGTGCACACAAGCTCCGGCGCCTCGCCGGAGTTCGTCTGCATGTTCGCATAGTCGGTTTGACTTTAGGTGAGCCGGGAGGGTCCAGGCAATAGATTTTTTAGGCCAGCTGGGAAGGCCAAGGGAAGTCGGATTTGGATTCAAGGTGCCTGTGCTGGCTTCCAGCATCAATCAATCTAGCCCTTTTGAACTTGGATCCTGGGCCCGACAAGAACGACGAGGCCTCTATAATATAATCATCCTAACCACCTGAATTAAAACAGGACCCGTCTACGGCACGGCCCACATTGACGACACGAAGTCTTCATACTTTGTCTCAAATTCGCTTATGGTGGTCCCGACACCGTCCAAGTCCGCGAGCAGCATAGACATGGCATTGTCCGAGTTTCATGAACTACCGTTTTGGACTTGGGATTTTGGAGCTGGAAGTTTAGGTTCAGGTTCCAGGGCTCAGGGCTTACCTACGAAACTTCAGAAGGGGCTAAGGGGGTCGCTTGGGCCCCGGCCTGCGGTTTGCGAGTGAAGAGTCGAAAGTGGCTACTGCAGGGCTCAGTGTAGGGGCCGTAATAATTAGAACTAGGAAGTTGTGGTTTTGGTGGATTCCTTACTGTAATTATGGTATCATATACCCCCAAACCCCATTGTAATTGGTTGAGGCCTCTGCATTAAGGCTTAGGTCGCAGGACACAGCGAACGAGGTTGGCAAAGACGCTGCGCTTTAAAGCTGGACTTGCTGACTGCCAGGAACCATACGCCTAGAGAGACTAGATGAAGTCGAGTGCTCGAAGACTCCTCTACTCAAGATCCACGCCCCGCCGAAAAACACACAGCACGTACCTCGAATCTCCGGAACCCGAGGCTGACTCCTCTGCTACACCGTGAAGGCCATATACGAAGCCCCAGGGACTGCCGAGGAAGCGAAGAAATCGAAAGAGCACAGCAAGTTCAAGGGCCGACTACCCCGAGCGCTCAGACCCAGAAATGCTCAAATCTAGGCCTCAACCGGAATCCCTAAACCACACCTTCCGGCGCTGTCTTGGTCAGAATGACGTCCAGGCCAAGGATCTTAGGAACCCGCAGCCTGTCGGTTGTGGATATTTGGAGGTTCTTTGACACCCTTATGCCCCTTGACATTCAGGCTGTTGGGGTGCGCATGGATGCGCTGTGCGCAAGGTTGTTGTCGAGATTGCAGGTGCACCACGCTTGTCTGGTTTGTGTTGGGCTGATTGGAGCTACGGCTTTGCTCAAGTACCAGATCACACATTGACCAGCTGGACCGCTTCAACCCGTGCCGCCTACAAGTCGAAAGATTGTTTGCAGTCAAGAAAGGAAAACATGAAGCCACAAACTTGTAGTTGCGCATGAGTACTGCCAAGCTTTGGTCCCATGCCGGATAGCAAGGCGGGAATCTCACCCCCCATCATTCTAAACATGCCTCCTCTACTTCTGACCCTTGCAACAGACAGATTGCTGTCCTGAAAGTGTCTCCTTTCCAGCGCTCCGCGCAAAAGATGTGCATGCATGTTCATGCACTCCAAGGTGTCGCTGAACCCCGCCCCATCCCATTTTGCGGGTGACTCTTTATCAACACAAACCTGTGGAATGAATCAGCGAATGAAAGCCAGGGCACGCAGCCCAAGCATTCGCCGAGGGTACCTTTCGATGCAAAGGCAGCTTTCGTCGTGTCTGTGCAAAATGGAAGTTCGCCACTGCTGCCGCTGCTGCTGCTGCCGCTGCTGCTGCTAATGCTCGCGAAGAAAAAGCTACCCTCTTCCCCATGGGTTTTACCGTTTTACTCCCTGCTTGCTGCTTAACGACGAGTGATAAGCTGAAAAGGTGTGCAGTGTTTACGAGTGTTTATCGGAAACTATCGCAGTTGTTTTCTTGCATTTGCTTCGGGCTCCGATGTGGCTCCGTGGCTGTTGCCATCAGCATCATTATAAGCCTGCATCTTTAGCCCGACATGAGATACTATGTGTTAATTACGACCCAGCATCTGGCCGCATTAAAGTTGCGAAAACGATCTACGGAGACTGTAGCTTTATCAACCACCGCCAGTTCGTCCCGACTCCACATGACATCTATCTTCATCGACTACAATCTCCCGCACAAAGGGCATGTAATTCTCGTCTAGAGACTGAGCTAGATTCTGTACATCTTTGAATATTGGGATACGTACAACCTGCAAACCCTAAACCCTTTCTTTGCTACTGGATTCAAGGCTAGCCAGTCTACGACCTAAACCCTTTTTGCAGCCAGCCTGAAAAAGCCTCTGCTGGGAACTAAATGAGGGCCTAGGCCTAGACCCTAAACTCCAAAACCTGCAAAGGGGAAGCCTAGACTAGGCCCGGCAATCGCTGCTTCGCGGCCTCGCCAGTTCTCTGAGAGGCCTGCAACAACGGCTTGGAGGGCACCGATCTTCAAATCTATAAATGTCAAGGGTCTACAGTTTAGGCTTCAATAAATGGAGTACGTGATTTGAGCGGCTTCGTAGGCATGAGTGTTGTGTGCGGCACTCACTCTCGGGCAAGTGGCTGTGAACTTAAAGCTTCAAAGTCCATAGAGCCTTGGCCACCCATACCAGCCGTGCAAGCTGCTTCAACACAGCTATATACCTCGACGTCGTCGCCAAAATGTTCGCGGAATCAGTAGCAACAGCAGAAAAGGCAGGAATCATAATGGCAATCAGTGTCAGCAGCAGCGGCAGTAGTAACAGCAGTGGAACTTGGTACTCGCCATGGCGGTGGTGGTGGCGACGGGCGACGTAGGAGTAGAAGCAGAAGTGGAAGTAGAAGCAGGAGCAAGAGTAGTCATGGTCGTCGCCGTAGAAGAAGAAAGCAATTAACAGTAGTAGTCGTCGTCGTCGCTGTAGCAGCAGCCGTCGTCGTCGGTAGATAGGTGGCTAGGGAGATAGGTCGTAGGCAAGTAGCGGTGGCAGTGGTAGCGGCGGTGGTAGTGGCGACAGGGAGTGTTGCAGTGGCAGCGGGACTGAGTGGCAGTGGTCGTCGTAGTGGTCGTCGTAGTCGTCGTAATAATCGTTGTAGTCGTCGACGTAGTAGTATAGTAGTCGTAGGAGGCGGAGGAGGAGTACAGTGGTAGTAGCAGCAGCAGCAGTAGTACTAGTTGTTGTTGTTATTGTGGCAACAATGCTAGTAGTCGTTGAAACTCCTGCACGGGAGCATTAAGACAAGCACACATACTCCACTGATGTTGCCCAAGGCACGATGCCTGGAACTCATGAACTCAGGGACGACCCAGCCGTCTTTTGCATCCAGGTCTCTTATGATAGCGGGGTGACTCACTTACTCCCCCAATAAGGCAGGGAAATAAAAGGTTAAACTTTCAGACTACAGTACTACTCTCTCTCTCTCTCTCTCTCTCTCTCTTTCTCACACACACGGACTCGAGTCGATCATGCCGCACAGTACTACCAAAACATATAAACCCACAAAGTTTAAAGGTTGGGTACTGGAGAACTAAGCTCAAGGCCCAAACAAAAACGAAAAATAAATAGAGACCATGCCCGGCCCGGCCGCAGCATCGAGGCACGGCTGAAGGTGCGCTGCCAGGCGGCGCAGACGACGAAGAAGCCGCACCTTTTTTGGGGGTGGTGGTTGTGAATTTCGAGGTTCAAGAGTTTCTATCTTAATAGATAATCCTTACATACAGCTTGAGAAAGCACGTGAGTTCGGTTTCGGTCCAGTGGTGAGAGCGCAGTCTGCATGCAGGTGGTACCTGGCTCAAACCTCAGGGCTTGCCGGTCAATTGTGCCCAACGACGCCTCATGATCTGAGCTTATAGCATCTGTCGCCTCAGGCAGCTACATACTCTTCGTCACTGCTGTTGACACTCTGCTTCCCACTCGACTCTTGACAGTGTGTGCTTCCTCCTGTCTTTGTGATATACATGCTTTCATGCATGCACGGCATTGCGTTCCTTCTTTGTGTCCATGTCCCCGGCTTCTGCTCGGAAAAGCATCATCCGCCAATCTGACGAGTGGCAAAAGCATGCGGTCCACCGCCTTCTACCTGCTGGAGGCTATTGCCCGACTTAAGGATTTGAGGTTTAGGGCATCATTTGGAGCCGTGAATCCCTGGGAACGCATCAGCGACGGATTCTTACAGCAAGGAGCGTTCTGTTCGCGGCATTCCTTCTTCTGTCCAGGGATATGTGGTTGCCTTGGTTCTTGCCGGTATTGGTGTATGTAAGTTGCCTTGGCCTTGGTATACCCAAAAAATAAACTGCACGTTCCTACCGGAACCTCTGCGATTACATAACTGCTCGTACTTGATGCTCGTAGACGCAAGCAGCGAAGAGATGCTGTGCAAAGGCAGAAGACGCCGGAGACTGAGTCGATCTCGCAGCCGACATGGGAGAGTTACGTGCAGGTTACATGCGTCAAGTCGTGGTGCTGACAACTATTCAGGTGCAAAGCAGGCTGAGGCATCAAAAAGAAATCAAACAGGTTCAAAAAAAAGTGTCAGAAACAAATCAAAGGTCTGGGATCAAAAACAAATCGAAATAGTCAACAGAAATCAACATATCGTGTCTGTGAGAGGGTATACTCAGTATACTCAAGATTACCAACTTTCGGGTCAAAACAAATCCAAACAGGGATCAACAAAAGCCCAACAGGGAGAAGGCTTTGTGCTGTGTGGCCAGCGTCGCAGCACCTGGGTCGTTGACGTTTGGGAGATCTTGTTTTCTCTGTGTGGGGAGCGAAAAACTGTGCCAGGGGCAGGCGGTTGGGGTCCCAGTAGGACTGGCCGCAGCAGTATGTGGATTCCATGCTGACAACAACAACAACAACAACAACAACAGCAACAGGCAATGGGTGCACGAAAAACTTCATGCGTGCAATTCAAAAACTAACCGAAACAAAAACAAGACTGTGAAAAACGATGCAATAATACAATATTAATCATGAAAATACGAGTCATCGTCGTCATCATGATAGGCATAGCAATCGCAACACAAGTCCAAATCGTAGTCATCGTAGCAATCATGCGCACTTTTCATTGGGGCTGGCCATGATAAATATGATGGTATGGGTGAGGAGAAGTAACCGTACGAGCAAGAGAGCCACTCTAGCCGAACATTGAGATCTCCAGTTCAGATGACTAGGAGCTGTTCTGAAATAGGGCTCCAATACTGAAATTTACAGCATTTCACAGTTTGGCATTTTTGATCCCCGTCTGACTTTTTGATGCCTTCGCCTGCAAAGCATGTGATTGGTACTGGTAACATCCAATGTTACCCCTAGTTCAATTGCGGTCGATAAAAACCATGCATCCCTCCAGGAATCTGTTGATGGCCTACTGAAAAGACGCGAAATGTCTAATGACTGCGGCCTGTGAACCACTTAGCTGCCTGTAGCCTTGTTAAGCCTAGTCCTTGGATCCAGATCGGCCGTCAGAGTGGCCCATTCTGAAACCATGCTTCGGGCCAGGAGATTCCGGCCCCTTGCATCATTCTGTTGACCCGAATCACTTAGGCCTCAGGCCTCGGGCAGCGAGGCAAGGCGCTCCTGAAGCCAAGCAAGGGGCGGCGCTGCCTCCAGTGAGGAAATGGTTTCCTTGACCCGAGATGCATTTCTTTTTTCGTGGATAAGAGATCCTCGCCTACAGTGACAGATCCGAAATGGATTCCTCGACATAAACCGGGACAACAAAAGCAAGTCTCGTTAACGGGAAATGCGTCTTCTTGCAGTGACACAGTAGTCAGTACAGGAATGTGCGCGACCTCATCGTGTGTGGACTCACTCGGAACGCCAAGTGCCACGAAGCACGACCGTTGTAGTGCGCTAGGGACGTGCAAAACGAAGTCGCCGATGTCAAAAGCAGGCAAACGCCCGTGGCTGTGGAGCAGCTGGTTGTTTAGCTCATGTTCTCGACCCCGCCACGGACCTAGTACACGTAGGTAGCTCAAGCAGCCCATGTGAGATGGCTGCGACATTTTCTGCGACGGATGCTCAAGCACACAGAAACAGGGGCTTCGTTTCCGCAAAGGAGAGCCGCACCAACAAATGTCGGAAGGACAAGCTGGGTGTTTCCGAAACTAGGGGACCCATATATAGTAGCCTAAACAATGGGAACCGTATTATAAGGATCCCAAAACGAGGTACCCCTAATTTTCGGAAACGCCCAAATTGCATCGCATGTCATACATTATACTACAATTAGGATAGGGAACCCTCTCTCTCTCTCCCAGGCATTCGGCACGTCAAGCCTGACTGAAGGGCTGCACTTGCGGCCGCACGTGAAACAACAAAACCCTGAATCCAAAACCCTAAACCCTACACCCTCAACCCAAAACGCTAAACCCCACAGCCAAAACCCTAAACCCCTTTGGACAGACTTGTATATGCGCGCCTGGATGTCGGATGTCAGAGCCGCTGCACTCGTGGCAGTAACCCTAACCTTCTGAAGTAACTGAAAACCCTAAACCCCAAACCCAAAACCCTATACCCTAAACCCTGAAACCCTAAACCCCTAAACCCCAACCTAAAACCTATTCTAATTCACAGGCGCCTCAGCGCCCGCAGCGGAGGCCTCACCAAGCGTTGTTAAGGCGGCCTGGGAGCAGTTGGTGACCTGAGGAGAAGCAGCCGAACTCTGGGAGATTCGGCACGTACTATAAGTAACATACAATAACCTACGATGATATACTACAATATAATATAGTGAACTATAACATACTATATTTTAACGTACACGTTAACAAAGCCACGACCTCGCAAAGACCGGGAAACGCTCCTCAAGGGCAGTCGAAAACGCAAAGCCAATGCTTTGCGGTGCTCCAGACCCAAACTGACTAATGCTCAAAGAGCCGACAGTGAGACATGAAAGGTCTGGGCCTTGATCCCTCTGGACTCTGGCTCTTATAGGTGCTGCCCCTGTCATTTGTGTATCATAGCGGCATAGCACACTAAGATACACTAATGCAATAAGGCTTGCATTGAACAAATTAGAAAAGCCGGTTCCATGCCGCCTGATCTCAGCAGTCCGTTGTCCTACTCCAGGCTTAAGTGTTGAGGTTCTGAACCCCGCACCCACACAGCAACAAATCCCAACAAGCTGCCTTTGATCCGCCCACAGCGCGGTACACCAGGCCCTGCCAGAGGCGGTCTAGAACCCGGCTTCATGCTAATGTACGGGCCTTAATCATCACAACAGGGTTTGGGGGCTCATTATACCATGATTGTAATAAGGACCCCCCAAAAGAGTATTGGTCATTATTCCGGCCCCTATAGTAAACCAAGGCGTCGCGGCGCTGCCTCTTCTTCTACCAGCTGTTAAAACACTCGCACGAGCATGCCCTTTCTTCACGTGCACGGGACAACTTCTACTTCGATAGCGTCAGTTGAAGAAGTTCAAGGCTGCCCACATCTACTAGCCCTGCTAGCAACTAAAAATGTCCCCACCCGCAATGTGCGGCGAGACGCGTGATCATAATGTAGGGGGTTCTGATCATAGTTTCGGTATATTATACCCGCAAACCGTATTCTGATTATTACGGCCCCTACGTTGTCTCCGGCCTCCGAGGCCAGATAGTACCTGCGCTGCCCTCCTAGCTGCTCGATGGCCACCTTGGATGGGCTCCCTGGACCCTTTTGCTCGGAGGCCTCACAAGGTGGGATGAAGGATCCATTATATAAGGACTCTTATTTGGGAATATCCCACCTACCTTCATCCTACCTTTTGAGGCCCCCGATTTGCTGCAGGCTTCCTTGCAACGGTTGATGATATAAATCCTGCATTACCTTAAGGGCCCAAAACTATGGGAATTATGGTTATTCCTTATTATGGGTAATGCAGGATTTATATCATCAACCGTTGCAGGGACGCCGGGTAGTTTGCCGATCTTCCGCCAGTTAGGACTGTGGGGACCCTAAACCCTCTCTCGTAGGAACCTGATTAAGAAACCCTGGCGCTACAACCCCAAATGAAGTGGGATCCATATTAAGAACCCTAATAGAGGCCCAAGGTTTCTTAATCAGGTTCCTACATTAAACCCTCCCATACCTTTTGAACGAGGTCTCTGTGAAGTGTCTCCAGCAGTATGATTTCATCGCTCTCTCTAGCTTCTCAACCCTCTACACCCTAAACCCCAAACCTTAAAACATCTAAACTCCAAACCCTTAACCCCACACCCTGAACCCTAAGGTCCAAAGAGGCGGAAACGCACAGGCGCGGAGAAGTGCAGGGCTGAATATCAAAGGCTTCACCAAGGCTTCCTAAATATGGGTACATGTCACAAAGCAATACTGTTCACTACCACACACATCAGTAACGAATGCAGTCTTGTGCGCATGTTGCTGACACGGAGAGCAGAAGCATGCACATCTATATGGCAAGTTGCGCGGGCCCTTATAGAATCACGACACACAAGCACACACACACACAGAGACACAGGTCGCACACATACATGCTAGTGCACACACACATACAAATAAATGTGCATTCGTATGCATATATACACAGATATGTATATATATATATATATATATAACATCGCCGGTGTGTTTGTGCGCGTGGCTCTCTGTCTTTTCTTTCTTTCTGCCGGGCTTAGGGGTCGCTGTTGTGACCTGTTTGTCCGGCCGTCCTTTAAGAAGCTGTATGCATATATGATTTGCATATTGATGTGCACTCCGCCCCTTCCTTTGACATAAATCCCGGGTTCCCTCTATCACCATGGTACAGTAAACCCACGAAGCCGAGAGGCTACAAGGCTTGCAAAGATGGAGTCCTAAAACTCCTAAAAACGAATACCCAAAAGCGCACTGCGAAATGAGCTTAGGGCCAAGAAGCCATGTACAGCCGCAGAGTGAACCTTCGGCCATCCAAGAGGATGCAATCCTCAACGGGCAAGTGAGATTGTCTGCTGGATTGGTACTGTGCTCCGGAAGTTCCGCACTCGGTAGACACTGTTGGAAAAGGGCCGCGGCCTAGGCGGGGCCCGATGCGCTCAGCTGTCGCCAAGGCTTTGCAGGAATGCACATGGATCGCTGTCTGCTTTGTTGCAGGCCCCGTTTCCGCCTGTTACGGAACTCCTGTACTAGCAGGAGCCAGAGTTCGGAAGGGTCCCTTAAACCCTAAACCCCTAAACCCAAGTCTCTAAGCTCAAGGTTTTTCTTCAAGGGCCCTTTTTCAAGGTTTAAGATTCGTGTCTAAGGTGTCTGAGGCCTGGAAGCCTCCTGGGCAGTTCGGCCAGGGGTCACTCTTGTCCTCTTGCAGAATGCTGGGCTGGTCACAGGCGGCCTGAGCTTGTCTCTGAAGATTTCGGCACACATACTCTTGTCAAGATTGCGTAGGGTTTGAGAACTCTTGAAACTACCTGGGATTTGAGATGCAATGTCAAGCTAAAGGAAGAAGAGTTCTGATGTTTCGGAAGCTGGGATCTGCTGGCGTAGCTACGACCAGCAGCTATCTGCAGCTGAGGCTTTTCGAGCTTGGTGCTTAGGGTCAGGGTTCCTGTTCAACCTGAAGGCTTTTTAGGGTGTTGGTCAGTGGGCTTTCCCAGGTGTGTCGCTGGAGCCTGACCTCGCTGAATGTTGAATGTACCCGATGCCAGGAACGGATGGCCCTTCCTTTGGGAAGGGTTTAGGGTTTAGGGTTTGTTAGGGTTTAGGAGTTTAGGATTCGTTGGGGTTTAGGGTTTGTTAGGGTTTAGGGTTCAGGGTTTAACGGTTGTTAGGGTTTAGGGTTTCAGGCGCTGGCCTTATGCTTTGCTTATTGGGGGAATGTGCTCACTGGCTTTATGCTTTGCTTATTGGTACTGGATTCATATAAGGAACCCTATTTAAGGCCCAAGGTTTCTTAATCAGGTTCCTACATTAGACTATGCCACAAAGAAACGAAACCCTCAAGCCTACGAGCTCCAGCTGCGGGAACTGAACTCCTCGGGTCAGAAACCTTCAAGCTCTTCTTAGAGGTTCACGCGACTTAGAAACTGACTAGGGCTATAATTAAGGTAACTACACTTATATGTACTTGTAATCCCAACTAGGGTGCTTATGACCTTCATTACTAAGTCCCATGAACCTCCACGTTGTCTCCGAACCAGCTGCCAAGGCACTGCCCTTGCAGCGACATTCTCTGTGAGAAGCTCGGTGCTATGCCTAGGATATCACTTCTCGAATTCTTAATGTCTGCGCTTCGGGTTTCAGGTATTAGGAAAGATAAGGTCAGGGCCCTGGCGTTCGTCAGCCTTCCAAGAAGGCGGGGTCGCTTGCAGCTATGGGACCTGAAGATCTCTGACATCCGCAACCCCAAGCACAACACTAAAAGAGGACGACCGAACAACTCAAAGCGTGAACCCCTATGCCCTACGCGAAGATCCCAACCTCTGGTCTGATCCAAATAACGAGAGGCTGTCCTGTGCTGTTTCTTGCCCCTGAAGCTGAAAGTTTGCATGTCGACCCTAGCAGGTTGAATTAGACAGGAGGGAGAGAGAGAGAGGAGCGACGCTGCATGAGAGCGGTGGGCACGGGAGCCAGGGGAATTGCGATTCAGCGAAGCTCACGCAGCCACCCAGCTTACACTCACTGCAGGGCATATCTTCACAGCCTGCTCGATCAGAATCAAGCGGCCCACCATGTCCCCGAGCTGCTTTGAGCCACCACCTTGGCATCGGCTCCATCGGCTCCCGGGTTCCGAAGCTTTCGGATCTGAGTCTGCGTGGTCTCCTTAGGCCTTCTGGGCTTTGGACATGGGCTCTGACAGCTTTAAGTTAGAGTACTCAAGTTAAGGCATCGGAGCCACAGCTGCATCCTGTATGACACTGTATGGAGGAGGCCAGGGGCTCGGTTAGACAGCAGATTCGGAGAGGATGATCGGGGAAGCTCACTCTATGAAGACAGGAATGTCCCAACGCTCCTGAAGGTCTACCTGATTCCATCCCCTGACCTTCAAGCAGGATACAATACGTGCACCATAAGGGCACTATTAGGTGACTGTATGGCTACCATAAGGGTACAGTACAAAGCATGCCAGCTTCTTTGCTCCAAGCGCTTGTTGGAACTGCCGACTTGCTCGGATGCGCTTCGTGTTGACTCTGGGTGTCTCCGCAAAGAATTTAGTGAATCTAGTGCGGAGTGGAACTTCGAGAAACACCCAGCTCATGTCTGATGCCTGCTGGCCCTGCTGGAAGAGCTCGGAGGAGAGCATGGAAGTCTTGGAGCTGAGAAGTTGGGATGACTGAGTGCGTAGGATCCAGGTACTTTCTTCCAGGGTTGTACAGTAAGCTTGAAACCCCACCTTCGCGAATCTTATGGCTTTCAAGATGTCCCCTGCCTGACATACGTACGATGCGTTTGCTCGAAGCCTACATCGTACCGACTAGGAATCTGCCAAGTGGACGGAACAAATCGACAGCATACTCTCGCGCATGGGGGACAGGTAGTACTTGGTCCGAAGAGCCATTCGAAACTATCTGTCCGGCCGTGGCGCGGAACTCTGTAATGATGCATTCAACATTGGATGGAATGTCGTGGTCAGGAACTACACTCGCGTCATGAATAAGGAATGGCGAACGGCGCTGACTGTCTAAACCTATGGCAGGTAGGGTGCTGACTTGTGGCTTCCGAAGTTGCACCACATCCATGATCCATCCCAGTATGGCATTATGGAACAACCCAGATAATGTGGGGCCGCCCTTCCTGGAATCTCCTGTAGGGCATCGATAGTCGCAGTGGCAGTGCGTAGGATATTCGGAGCTCCTCTTGCTCTAGGGCATGCCAAGCCTGCTAACAAACAGTCCGGCTAGTGCGCCCAGAAGATCTGGGCATTCTCCACGATGAGGGCCCCAAAACCAGGAGTGCCAAGCACAGGTTGGTTTGCGGTGTAGGTAGGTTGTAGGTCTTGGGTGCAGGGTAACCTTGATGACAGGGTTACTTCGCAAAAGGGATGTGGGACTTTGTGGACGCAGACACAGGCCAAGTTCCTTACAACAGATCGTAGAAACTGTAGTGGCAGTGAATGCGCTGGCAGTAACTGTACAAAGTCTACTCAGGAGCATGTCTGCAGTCTGCAGTCGCAAAGACTATAGCTAGGATTGGCTGGCGACCAGATAAACATAGCCGGAAGATTATTTAGGAGGAGCAGCCGTAGTACCCCTCTGGACTGGCAGCAGTAGCAAGACCCATGATAACGATAGTGGCAATTGCTGCAGCTATCAGAAACATCTGCAACACTCCAATAAAGGACCAGCAATGGAAACAACGATGTCGTCGCAGTACTCATGATGAAATGATCTCACTGGTAGCGAAAGGTTTGCAGTACTAAGAAGCCTGAAAAAGCTGGAGGTTTAAGAGATGTTTACAGGGCTGATGGGCCCCCATCTGCATGTCGTGGAGCCTTGAGACTACTGACTACTGCCCCACCGGCAAAGTATTGATGGTGGTGGCTCAAATTCAGCATGCTGCTCGGCCGAGCACGCTTTTATGCACGGGTCCAGCGGCTCTGCAAAGCATCCCCACAAGAGCCTTGAAAGCTCTGGCACACGACGATCCGTAAAAGGCTGATGCATGAAACCCCAGCCCATCTTTACACAAGCCCCGCGTCAATGTCCGATGAATCCTTCATAACGTCCGACGTGCAGTCGCACTTGCATTGCCGCGGAAGATGCTACCAGCTCAGAAGATGCCTGGCTGTCTCTGAAGTTCATTCTGTTCAAGTGACTGTTGCTGCTATTTCCTAGATGCAGACTGCTAGGGTAAGTAGTGGTTAAGTACGAAAACCGAGAGGCAGTAGGTTGTCGCAAGCGCGTGTCGTTCCGGTAGCAGAGCTTGCAGCAGTGGTGCCAGCAGTTCACACGGTCAAGACGTCTAGTTCGTTGGTTGTTACCATCACTATGTTCTTGCTCGTTGCCTCGTTGTTGCAACTACTACAGGCTACGATCATTGCTACAGCATGATCTTCAATCTTCGGGAACCCTTCCGTACTGGGGAAGCAAACTTGGGGCTTCGGGATTGGTTTTGAAGGTTTGCGGGGTTGAGCCTTGGGGATTCTCACTCAGTTAGGCTCGGGGTGTCAGTGCTCTGCGGCCCCCCTATCAAACTGAACCGTGGCTGACGGAGGAGACTGAAGCTCCAAAAGCTGCACTCCTCAATGCATTTGGGCAGTGAGCTCCTGCCTGATCCCACGCGGTTCTTGTTGCGCGCTTCCGCTGCTTTGTTCTGCGATTCCATGTAGGCTGAGCGGGACTTTTCCTGAACGACAGGAAGAGCAGGCTGGCTAATGTAGGTGCCCTAATAATTAGAATCGGGCCCATTATACTATATTTATAGTAAGGAACCCCCAAAATAGTGTAGGTAATTATTAGGGCCCCTATACTAGGTCTCGGACGTGCGTGTGATTACCCAAGCAAGGCTTCCCAAATGTTCTAGCGAGCATGGATAGTGCTCGAGATGAAGGTGCTTGTACCTAGCAGGTCCTGATCAAATACAGGCAGAGCAGGCAATCGAACCTAATATCTATATTGGTTACATCCTCTACAAGCCTTTACACGATCCTTTCGACTGAAGTTAAAACAAACAAAAACTGACATTGCCAGATGAACTGGGGAGTCTGACGTTGAAAAGCTCTGTCAGCTGTCTGGCTTTTATTTTCTTACTGGTCAATGTACCCCCAGCCCCACCCGCACCCCTCCTTGCCCCTCCACCTGTCCCACATGTCCCCACCCGTCCACCGTTCCCAGATGGGCTGTCACGGTGCATCCGGGCAGGATGTGCTGTCACAACGCATCGTGGCAGTGGCACTGCGGCAGGACCCTTCTGAAGGAAGTCTAAGAAGCCCGTCACAACCGATTTTGCAAATAACATGCAGGTTAGTAGGTCTGGCTGGTGCCTGTGGGTATATTCTTGCGGTTTCGGTCGGCATCGCGGACGCGATTGCGCATGTAGGGTGTCTGGGCAAATTATCTTCAAGCCTTGTTCCGCTCGCTTTTTTGGTCGGGCAAAGAAGAGAGGCTAAGAGTCAAACAGCCCCTGAATCCGTAAGAGCAAGACTGTAAAGCCCGCTGTGAAGCAAAGTTCATCTATCACCCAACTTGAAGCCCCCACTTCGGACCCCGATTCCGGGATCCCAGCCCTTAACCCTGACCCTCACGGCTTCGCCAGGAACACTAACTCCGCCGGGAGGCGGCATCGTAGGTCGCCACAGAGGCATCCGAGAGCTTCTTGGCGCGGGCCCGCCTCGTGATGCTACCCCTCTTCACGAAGAGCTTCGGGTTTAGGTACTTAGATATTCAGAGAAAAGGCGTGGGGGGGCGGGGAGATACATATGTATAAAGGGACAATACAAGGCGTATTCGTTGCAACATTATCTGAGCTCCTACCGTCAAGAGGCGCCCTTTGCATCAGGCTTCTTAGGCCGGCGCTTGGGTACTAACCTCCAAACCCTGAACCCTACACCCTGTTTCAAGCTTTCGGGCTCAAAGGTAGAGCTCTTCAGTGAGGCAAACAGATAAACTTCAGGTTTGAGGTCCAGGGCTTCCAGGCCGATATGCCGCTAGTGAAGAAAATTGAAGTTAACGGCTCGGGCAAACTGCGATCGAAGAAAGTCTAGGGCGCAGAAACTCTCGGCACCGTTGGATTTAGGGGTCTCTGGGGGCGTGGTTTTTGTTCCTTATTTTTTCCCGTTGTTTTTATTATTTTTTTTTCCGTTTCCCTTGTTTGGCTAGGGGTAGGGGTAGGTAGGGGTAGGGGGCGAGGGGGTAGGGGTTGGGGTAGGGGTAGGGGTGGGGTAGGGGTAGGGGTAGGGGTAGTAGTAGGTGTAGTAGTAGTAGCAGCAGTAGTAGTAGTAGTAGCAGTAGTAGCAGTAGTAGTAGTAGTAATATGTAGTAATAGTGGTAGTAGTGGTAGTGGTAGTAGTGGTAGTAGTAGTAGTAGTAGTAGTAGTAGTAGTAGTACTAGTACAAGTAGTAGTGGTAGTAGTAGTAGTAGTAGTAGTAGTATACGTAGTAGGTGGTAGTACGTAGTAGGTAGTAGGTAGTAGGTAGTAGGTAGTAGGTAGTAGGTAGTAGGTGGTAGGTGGTAGTAGTAGTAGTAGTAGTAGTAGTAATAGTAGTAGTGGTAGTAGTAGTAGTAGTACTAGTAATACTAGTAGTACTAGTAGTAGTAGTAGTAGTAGTAGTAGTAGTAGTAGTAGTAGTAAAAGTCGTCGTCGTCGTGGTAATAATAGTAGTAGTAGTAGCAGCGGTAGTAGGTACTAGGTAGTAGGTAGTAGGTAGTAGGTGGTAGGTGGTAGGTGGTAGGTGATAGGTGGTAGGTAGTAGGTACTAGGTAGTAGGTAATAGGTAGTAGGTAGTAGGTAGTAGGTGGTAGTTAGTAGTGGTAATAGTAGTAGTAGTAGTAGTAGTAGTGGTAGTAGTAGTAGTAGTAGTAGTAGTAGTGGTACTAGTAGTAGTAGTAGTAGTAGTAGTAGTAGTAAGTAGTAGTAGTAGTAGTAGTAGTAGTAGTAGTAGTAGTAGTAGTAGTAGTAGTAGTAGTAGTAGTAGTAGTAGTAGTAGTAGTAGTAGTAGTAGTAGTAGTAGTAGTAGTAGTAGTAGTAGTAGTAGTAGTAGTAGTAGTAGTAGTAGTAGTAGTAGTAGTAGTAGTAGTAGTAGTAGTAGTAGTAGTAGTAG